CCTATAGTTATCCGTTCCAACTGCTTTATATTATTTTCTACTTTGCGAATAACTTTCTGCAGAGATTCTTGACTTTTTACTTGCATAACACAAATCTGTCATCTGTTACTTTGCAAAGAATATTCTGCATATAGGCATTTCACCTATTGCTTACTTGTAACAAATTTGTTTTCTATATATTAAGATTGCTTTGGAATATGAGAATAAAAAAGGAACCTTACCTCGTCATCTGACTTGTTGGCCTTTGCATTCTTCTCAAATTCCTCTTTGACTTTCTTCACTTCATCCTCCAACTCTGTGATCCTCAGCTTCAGTCTCGACTTGACGGCATTGAGAGACTTGATCTCCTCTCGCAAGATTTCTTGCTCACTAGAATAAGGATTGCATATACCTATAACTTTCAGTAATATGAGTCTTCAGAAGCTCATTCTTAAACGCATAATGTAAAACAGCTGCTGATTACATTTAGCTTAATGTACAGATAAGTCATTATAAATAAGTAAAAAAAAAACACTTTTCACTGTTTGTTCTTTTGTCCGATACACATTCTATATATACTTCACCTTTCCATTCTGACCTCTCTGTAACCATAAAAATCTAAGATTAATACACAGCACCACAAACAATATCAGAACAAACCCACTCGACACTTTACCTTGTTAGTTCATCTACTTTGGCAATAAGGTCATCTTTCACAATGTTTAGGGCATTCCTGCAAAACAAAACATTCAGTCAGTCAGCCACCCAGTTTGATGGGAAGTTTTAAAAAAGCACACACATTTATTTTTTTTGTTACTCTCTCAATACAATTTATCAAATGCTCTTGGAAGATTGCTCAAAATCCATTGCTAGCAAGATTAAGATAAAGCCATCAAAAGCAAAAGATTCTCTCCCACATAATCATACCGGGAGTATTACTTCTTCCTTTAAGCTGAATTCCACTCCAAGACAGACTTTCCTTTAGACAAATAATTTTTCTAATAAGGTGGAAAATCAAAATCCATATCCAGATTTACCCCCCCCAAAAGAAAAGAAAAATTAAGAAAGGCCCGGATGGATAAATGCAAAGGCATATTCAGTCTAAAATAACAAAAACAACTAAACTCTGCAAAACACAGATAAAACAAAAACAAAATAAAAGAAAAACAAGAAGAAAACCTGAAGAACTTGAAAAACTTACTTAGTTGCCAGAAGTTCGTTGTTTTCCATGATGAGGTTCTCCACTTCCTTGCCCATCCCTGTAATGATATAATATAAGCCATTACGAATGCAGAGGACTAGCACCATCTTGCTCTTCTATATTAGCATGTTTGAAAAATATGTTACTATAAAAGAGAAAAGAAAAATATGAAGATCAGGAGAGGGTGGTCATAAAACACTATTCTACACATGAGAGAAATGAAAGATATGTGATTAGAGAGAAAGAGGACAAGAGAAAGAGTGAGATAAGGAAACCCAGTCAGTTAATAGGACACATAAAAGAAGAGACAGAGAGAGAGACTGATGGACAGAGAATTCAAATGAACATTCATTTCTACTCTACTTTTCTACGTTTCTGGACAAATCTTGACAAACCACAATCTTACCAAAGAAGTTGTCAGTGACTGTTGCCGCAAACAATCCCAGTCCGCGTATGGGGCCATTAAGGTGCAGTCAGTATTGTTGTTGTTGATGATGTTGTTGATGTGGGGGGGGGAGGGTTGAGGGGGGATGGACGGGAGGAAAGCACACACGTGTTAGTTCTCACAATTCACAAACAAAGTAAAGCTGACATGCTCTGGTTATGGCTTTTTAACTCTCTTCTTCACTATCATTATCACTATTCTTAATCCTTTATTCTTTTTCTTTTAATAGAAATGCTTGGGAACATTTGCATATCTCTATTCCCAACTTGTGAGCTATAAAACCAATGCAGGAGCCTTTCAATAAACAAGGCAGAATTAACTAAAACAAATTAAAACATGAAAAAAAAAGATAATAGGCAGTATACTGTTGGTGCAATACTGTAAAATAAACATGACAAAAATTGCAATGCTTTAAAACAAGCAAATTAAAGTTAATGTAAAGGCCAGACAGGGAATTTTTGGCTTGGTATCCATGGTATATACAGAGCAACCTCCTCTGGTTCTCCCTGATCTATTCAAATGTAATACACAATGTTTAGTATGATCATGCTTTAAGTGGATATTCAAAATGAAATTTCAGCCTTTATATTACTTACAACTTGGCAATATCCTATTACATTTATTCCAGTTGTACAAAAGGTCTTTTCTTTTCTATAAAAAATATTAAAAACTCACAAGTTGTCTTGTTCTATTCACCAAAGCACTAAATATCTCAACTAGAAAACTGAATGACCTCAAAAAAGTTAGATTTAAAAATATGTATCTAACACCAGTATCATGATAATATTCACAATCAAGTATATATATATGTATATACACACATCAATGGAGTATTGAATCCAACCTTCTTGACCCAAGTTAAGGTACATGCAGAGCCCCCTTTCACCTACATGCTCTAGTGACATAGAGCTTTCCTTGTACCCACCACACACTGTGTTCCTATATACAAACAGGACTAGACTGCGAATTCATGCTTACTGAGTGTAAAACCCCTCTTCCAGACTGTACTTTATGGTCTACAATTCTAATGAACAACTAAGTTCCATGCTACTTGTTCCTGTTAATGATTCTAATCTCTTTTGGAACTGTCACTGGAGTCTTTACACACATGGTAAAAAAGAGTGTGTATCTTTGTTTGTTAATGTGTGTCTGTTTAAAATGTGTTTGTGTGTTTTTGTTTGTTTGTTTGTGTGTGTTTGTTTGTCTGCGTGTGTGCGTATGTGTGTATGCGTATGTGTGTGTGTGTGTGTGTGTGTGTGTGTGTGTGTGTGTGTGTGTGTGTGTGTGTGTGTGTGGTGTGTGTGTGTGTGTGTGTGTGTATGTATGTATGTATGTATGTATGGTATGTATGGTATGTATGTATGTGTGTGTGTGTGTGTGTGTGTGTGTGTGTGTGTGTGTGTGTGTGTGTGTGTGTGTGTGTGTGTGTGTGTGTGTGTGTGTGTGTGTGTGTGTGTGCATGTGTGTGTGTGTGTGTGTGTGTGTGTGTGTGTGTGTGTGTGTGTGTGTGTGTGTGTGTGTGTGTGTGTGTGTGTGTGTGTGTGTGTGTGTGTGTGTGTGTGTGTGTGTGTGTGTGTGTGTGTGTGTGTGCATGTGTGTGTGTGTGCATGTGTGTGTGTGTGTGTGTATGTGTGTGTGCATATGTGTGTGTTGTGTGTGTGTGTGTGTGTGCATGTGTGTGTGCATATGTGTGGTGTCATATGTGTGTGTGTGTGTGTGTGTGTGTGTGTGGTGTGTGTGTGTGTGTGTGTGTGTGTGTGTGTGTGTGTGTGTGTGTGTGTGTGTGTGTGTGTGTGTGTGTGTGTGTGTGTATGTGTGTGACATGTGTGTGTACATGTGTGTGTGTACATGTGTGTGTGTTGTGTACATGTGTGTGTGTACATGTGTGTGTGTGTGTGTGTGTGTGTACATGTGTGTGTGTGCATATGTGTGTGTGTGCATGTGTGTGTGTGTGTGCATGTGTGTCTGCATAACTGAATTTGTGTTTGTCTTCCTATAGCATTTGAGTCTTCATGTCTGTCATTGACTATTGATGTAAAATCTATATCACAAGAGCAAGTTATATATATGGTATCACTGAACATGAAATTTTGTCACTGTAACTGTCTAAACTTTCTACATGGCAGCATATATCCATCTGTACCTTTTAAAGAGCATTATCTGTTAAATCAAATACACTAAAAATAATACAAATTTTAAACTTAAAAGCTTAGGAGGTGACATCAGGAAAAGACAACATAAAAAATAATAATAACAACTAAAGAAGACTGATGGAGTAAACTGAATTTATTGTGCTTTGAAATGAACATAAAAAGATTCCTTAAAGTCTATATTACAATACTGCTGTCCTTTGCCTGTAAGCCACCTCCTTCAGGGCAAAAGCGATATGGCACACGTTTCATACCCGAGTATGTGGGCGAGTTCCCACCTTCCTCACTCCCACTGTCTGTAGTGTGCACAGCACCAACCGGCAGTGATGTGCATACGTACACCCAAGGGCCATGTGCGCGTGTCAAAACATCAGGCGGGTGTGCAGCCAGATGTGTGCACAGTGCATGGCAATGACGCAAGCCATGTACCAGAGCACAGGAGGAGCAAGAATGTAACAACTAGCATCAGTTAAAAAAAAAAGAAAAAAGCCATGCAAAATAAATATAACGATGCTGGAAAAGAAGAGCTTAGAGAAAACTTATAAAAAAGGTGAATTCCATATAAATTATGAGAGAAAAAAATAATAAACAGAAAAGATTATACTTGATATCCCTGGAAGACAATGCCAGACATTTTGAAGGCTACAAGCGCAAAGGGACATGCAGCTCTTCGGTTTCCATTTTCAATTCTAAAACCACAGCTAGAATTTCTCTCCGCTACCCCTAAGCCTGTAGTTGAACAACTCTCGCCTATGAATCAATTGCACTGGAAACCATACAATAACAGGGGAACAAGGGAGGGCCAATGGAGGGAGAGAGAGACACTGAAGATAACTTCTAATTCCTAACAGATGTACGCTGCACCTACAGATTGTACAATAGTTGCGGCATATAATTTGGAGGGGGCATACAATTTTGAATACCAGGAATGCCAGACAGACAAAGAAGTTTACTGCACTGTAGTTTGAATTACATCTTCTGAATGATCTTTAATCATGCAACTGACTCCGCATGCATTGTACTACAGCTACAACATTCTATCATCTAGCAACAGACAAAAACGGTGTACAAAATACCAACCCGATGACGCATATTCTCCAGGATGCACCCAGCCACCTGAGGTGCCCGAGTTTTTCAAACAGAGGAAGTAAGTTAATTGAAGTTGCAGGTTGCATATTGAAATATATTTCAGTCAGATCAATGCATATTAATAGTTAGTAGATCATATACATGAATTCTATAGGTTAGTTTTCTTCAACTACTGAAAGCATTTCTTTCTTGAGTGCTCTTTGTGAAGTTGCACATGATACGGCTGTGAATTAATCATCTGACCATGTTAGTTTGTGATCATAAAATGAAGGGTAATAACCATACATGCCAGACGTAAACTGGTATTCTTAAAATCAAAACCTGACAATCTTCATCAGCACTAAATTTCATGTATAAAAAAGTTCTCTGTCTGAAGGCAAATTCTTATTATCTTTTGGCTAGGCACTGCACTTCAAAAACTTTTAAAAACTTCTTGTCTGCTTGAATCTCTGCTTCTAAAATCATTACATTTCTATCTTGATAATCACACTTTTAAAAAGATTTAGCCTGCCACCTTGTTTCTACTGATAAACAGAAAAAACTATAACTGTGTTCTCTTACCCTTTTTGGCTTAAAATTTTGCATGCTTTTTAACTGCCACATGTCCTGCCTTTCTATCTCTCAATTCCCCTACAGATATTATGAGCATATTGTTAATTCTAACTAGAACCATAAAGACACACTTCTGAGTTCATGAGAAGGCCTGCTAAATGATGTCTGTGTTCATGAGCTCTTGATGTCTGTAAATATTGTGATGTGCATGAAACAACTGTGTATGTGGGAGAACTGGTATTAGTAACAGCAAGAATTTAAAAAGAAGTGTAACCTGCTTTGTAGGAAGTTAAAGAATGTAACAAAAGGCAAATGAACAAAAGGTTAAACACACAAGGACTCAATATACAACATGCAAGAAAAACCTCATCTCAAATGAAACATGGACATCAATAACAATAAATTTTACATCAGGAGAGGGAACAAACAAAAGTCCTGAATCTGTTGAGGACAAGAAGGTCACTCACAGACTGACATTCACTTAACACAAGATAGCTGAAGTGAGTCAGCTGATGAGAAAATTACCGAACCTCTCTAGAAAGCTCATGGGACCAACAAACTCAAGTGATAAACATAAGTACTACAATGTACTTCTTGACTACCACTTTGAAGTAGATGGGGAAGATAATCAAATGTATGGCCTTCTCTGCTTTAGTCACAAAAAGAAAATAAACAAATAAGTATGTAATGAATAAAGAAAGAAAGAAAATAATATCCTAATGAAAATAAAATGCAAGGTGAGGGCCAAGTTAACAGCAAGGGAAAGGACTGAGGCACATGTACATGCATAATGACTGGTGACACCGCAGGTTAGCAGTGAATAGAGTACATAAAAATGCTGGCTCTATGTTAGCACAGTAAATGAACAGTTCAAACTAACATAACAACAAACTCATTCTCTCTCTAGCAAATATAATCATCCATATGGGCAATAGGTAGAATGAGGCTTGGGAATGAGGTTTCAACCATCGAAATATCAAGTATAAACATTAGACACATAAATGGACGTTCCTAATATCACAATAGATAAGAAAGGAAGACAATGTAAAAAAGAAAAAAAATATACAAAATATTGAGCATATACTTAAAATCACATTGTTTAAAAAATTGAAAATTCATATTACAAATTACTTAGAATCCTAGTTAAAATGTCCTATTTCTCATTACAAAAAGAAATAGTTTCGGATTCATAAATACAAATAATCAATATTTACCAACGAAAACACCCAGCATATAATTAAAAAACTGGGATGTGTGCAAAAGCTGTGCATTATCCATATCTAAAATGGGTTACTTATCATCAAACTATTCATAATAAAGCATTGCATGATGGCCCATTTTTATGCCCATCTTGTGTGTAGTGTTACACTGATTCCATATTTCCTTTTTCGATGTATGCATGAAAGCCACCTAACTGTGCATCAGAGAGGGGAAAAAATACTTAAGAGAAATGTAAATCCAACTACAAATACAACTGACAGTATGTCTGTTCTGTCTGAGACAAATGCAAGATCTATAAAAAAAAAAAATAGATAGAGAAAAATAAAAAGCAAAGATCATATTCAATATGTATGTGTATGTGTGTGTGTGTGTGTGTGTGCACTTGTGTATCCTCTCCTTATTATCAAATGGATCTTTTTGACCCTAAGCTCCTTAAGGCTACTCCTTCTAATGGCTGGTGCAGTTTCTACACGGTTTCACAACCAAGATGAAAATCAAAATGGCAAAAGACCTAAGGTTATCTGTACAATATCCAAGAACCCTTATGTTCTTGTGAATGATCCTAAACCTGATAAAATAGAAAAGAGCAAAAGGTAAAGGAGCAAGTCCTACCTGTAATGTCAGCTCCCTCATCCATCTCTGCCAAGGCATCTGGCTCCTGGAACTGCAACTCCTGATATAAGGTGTTGCCTGTTCGCTCCTCTCTGCCAGTGACAAAATGCATGATTCTGGACTATCAGTAAAAAATTAGAATAATAAACAAAAACAAATAAACCCAAATATATGACAATTATGTCTTTAGAACTTATAGAATGGCACACAATTACACAATATAGAATGGCCCTCAATGACAAAATAAGTTT